TATTACCTTTAGCTATTATAATTATTTATAATAGTATTAAATATATATTAATTATTAATTTATTTTATAATGGTTATTAAAAAGGTTTATTACTTTTATAATATATTATTTTATTAAGTAGTCTTTTATATTATATATATAATTTATTTTTAAGGATTATTACTACCTTTTATAACCTAATGGAAAAAATATAATAGGCTTATTTAGTTTAGTTAAATTATTAAACTATAAATTATAAGGCTTAAAGTATAATAGTTATATTATATTTAAACCTTATTATTTAGGCTATTTTATATATATATTTTAAGTTTAATCTTAAACCTTAATTAACTATACTTTATAACTTAAATTTTTAAAGTTTAACTTAGTTAGTTATAGTTAATTAAATTAGGCTATAAATTAATTTTAGATTTTAAACTAAAGGCTAGGGTATAGCCTTTTTTTAACTTAGCTATTATAGCTTTATTAACCCTTTTAATAATAAATATAACCTTTATAATTATTAATTAAATTAAAAATTATATTTTTTTATATATTTAAAAAGTTACTTTTTTATTAATATAAAAAAATTATACTTTTAGCTAAGGATATATAAAATAATTATATTTTATTTATAATAAAATAAAAAAGTTTTATTTATAATAAAATAAAAAAGTTTTATTTATAATAAAATAAAAAAGTTTTATTATATAAACTTAAGTAAAAAATAATTTAAATAAATAAATAGTATTTAAATTTTTTAAAGTAATTTATTATATTATTTAATACTAAAGCTAATTTACTATAATAATATAAAATAACTTTTTATAAAAATTAATATATTAAAAAAGTATAGCTTTAAAGTAATTTTATTTTACTATAAAGGAATAATTAATAATAATAAACTTATAAATATATTAAACTAAAGTTTTATTTAATATATTAACTTTCAAAATAAATTACTTAGTTTTATAAAAAAAAATTATTAATTAACTAAATTAAAATTTATATACTTAATATAAATTATAGTAAAAAATAAATTATTATTTTATAATACTTAATTATTAATAATAATTTTAATTAATTATATAATATTAAGCTTAATTATTTAGTAAAAATTAATATTAATATTTAATATTATTAAAATAAATTTATTAATTATTAATATTAATATTTTTTATTATAATATAAATTAAAAGTCCTTTATATTTTTAAAAAATTAAATATTTTACTTAATAATTTATTTAAACTTTTATATATAAATAATATAAAATATACTACTTAAATAATTAAAGATAATACTTTATAAAATATTTTTATTATATTTAATATTAATTTTTTTAATAATAATTATAGTATAATTAAATATTTATTATTAATTTATAAAAAAGTATTAATAAAATACTAAATATACTAAAATTATTTAATAATTATAAGTTACTTTATTAATTAATAATAATAAAATACTTTTTTATAAAAAGCTAGCTTTTAAACTATACTAAAATAAAATTTTTTATATATTATTTATAATAATACTAAATAATTATATATATTTTATTAAATAATAAAAATTATTATTATAATAATATATAATCCTTAATATTTTAGTATTATATATATTAAATATAAATTTATTAACTTTATATTCCTAAATATATAATGATATATTAAAGCTTATATTTACTATTACTTATATAAGTAGTTTTAATAATTTTATTAACTAAAATTAAAAAACTTATAATTTATTATTTTTTAAATAATTTTACTTATAATATAATACTTAAATTTTATTTTTATATTTTTAATAATATTATTATTAAATTTTATATTTTAATAACTAAGTTATAATAAATTTAATTATATTTTTAATATTATATATAAATTATTTAAAAAATATAGTATTTTACTTAGTTACTTTATATATTTTATAATAAATTAAGCTAAAGTAATCGTTTTATTTTAGCTTATAGTAAATTAAAAACTTTTATTTACTATTATATTTAATTAGAATTATTAATAATTAAATAAATTTTAAATAATACTTTTTAAATTTTTTATAAAATTAAATTAATTATAATAACTATATAGTACTTTATTAAAAATAAATAATTAAAGTTAATAAATATTATTATTAAAGTAAATATATAATATTATTTTTTAATATATTTAAATAATTATTAGCTAATTATATTACTAATAATTTAATTATTATTAAATAATATATTTATAAATATTATTAATTATTTATTAAATAAACTAATTATAAAATTCTAACCTTAAATATTATTAATATTATTTAAAAAAGTATTAACTTTATTAATAAAAGTTAATAATATAATTTTAGTTTTTTTTTATAAAATAAAATAATATAAAGCTTAATTATTTATAAATTTTACTAATATTAAATATAAATAATAATTTAACTTTTATTATTAATAGTATAAGTTTATTAAAAAAGTATATATATTTTTATTTATATTATAAATATAAATTACTAAGTTAATTATAAAAATTTAAATAATAAAAAATTAAATTATTAATTATTTAGTAAAAAGTAAGTTTATATATTTTTAAATTTAACTTACTACTTTATTAATATATTTACTTTATTATATTTATTATATAATTAAAACTAATATTTATAAAAAAAAACTTATTTAATAAACTATAATATAATATAATTAAGGCTTTTTATATTAAAAAAAATAATAATAATTAATAATTTATAAAATTAAAAACCTACTTATTAAATATATATTATAAAAAAGTATTAATATTTAGTATAATAAATAAAATAAAGTATTAAATATAATAAGTAATATAATAAAAACTTTTTTACTTTAAATATAATAAAATTAATATATAAATTTAATATATAATATTTAATAATAAAATAAAGTATTTAATATTAATAATTACTTAAAATAATATTAATTAATAATAAAGTATAATAGTATTTATTTATTTATTTATAAATTACTTTTTTTTTACTTTTTTATTAACTTTTTATTATTTATAAATCTTTTTTTTTTTTTACTTTACTTTTACTTTACCTAAGTATAATACTTACTATTTTATTTATAAAGCCTATTACTTAATATTTAATAAATTACTTTTAATTAACTTCTTTAACTTATTTATTATTAACTTTTTTATTTAATTTTTCTAAAATTACTTATTATTAATTTAATAATTTAATTATTAAATAATATTATAATTTTACTTATAAAAATATTATTTATAAATTTTTATATTATATTAAACTATTTACTTTTAAAACTAAAATTAAAAAATATTTAAGTTATATTATTTAATAAATACTATTATAGAGGTTATATTTATTATTAAAAGGGTTAGTAAAGCTATAATAGCTAAATTAAAGGAAGGCTATACCTTATCCTTTAGTTTAAAATCTAAAATTAATTTATGACTTAATTTAATTAACTATAGCTAACTAAGTTAAACTTTAAAAATTTAGGTTATAAAGTATAGTTAATTAAAGTTTAAGATTAAACTTAAAATATATATATAAAATAACTTAAATAATAAAGTTTAAATATAATATAAACTTTAAGCTTTATAATTTATAGTTTAATAACTTAACTAAATTAAATAGGTTTATTATATTCTTTTATTAAGTTATAAAAGGTAGTAATAATTTTACCTAAAAATAAATTATATATATAATACTTTTAAGATTAAAAAACTACTTAATAAAATAATATATTATAAAAGTAATAAACCTTTTTAATAATTAAAGATAAATTAATAGCTAATATATATTTATTATAAATAATTATAATAGCTAAAGGTAATAAAAAACGAATTATAACTATAGCTAAAATAATAGCTACTATTATAAAAACTTATAATAAGTATATTATTTATATTATAAAAAAGATTTATTAAAGCTTAAAGAATAAAAAAAGTAAAAAAAAGTAACCTAAATTAATTATAAAAAAAATATATAGATTAATTAAGCTATTATTAAGTAAAAGAATTAGTAAAGTACTATTACTTAGTTAATAATTATTAAATAAAGGTTTAATAATAACCTATTATTTTAATTTTAGTTAAGTAGTTTTGTCACGACCCGGCTCTTAAGGTCGCGACAATGGGCCAACAGGTTGGCCGGAAACGGATTAACTATGGACCGACAGACCAATCAGGACTGACGGCACTCCTTGACCAGGAAAGCTAGGAAAGCTAGCTTTCCAAATAATCCATCGCAGGAAAGCTAGGAAAGCCAGCTTTCCAAATAATCCATCGCAGGAAAGCTAGGAAAGCCAGCTTTCCATATGATCCAGGACACACGACTGGATATATAAGTTCACTTCATGTCACTCGTTAGAATACTTAGATAGCCAGTTGTTATCACAGCCACAGCGTTTACAATACAATCAGATTGGAACTCAGACATCTATTCTTATTTATATTATTAGCTGGTGACAAGATTGCCCGTTTACCGACCTGATTGCTCCGCTAACATAAACCATAGAACCACTCTAAGGTTTGTCCCTTGGAAATAGCTAACCTATAGTACCTATAGGAACCCGGTTCGTCATACGATAACAACTCTTGTTCGGACGGTCACCTTGGACCTACGGGCAATAAGACACTAGGAACTTAGCAGCCTATGAGCTTCAGAGTCCCAGACAACGACACCGATTACGAGAGCGAAGCTTAAAGTAGTCACGACAGCAATATCAAAATCCAGGACAATTTCGAAGAAACCACTGAAGACGTCGAAATGGCTCCGCAACCACCTGCCAACTTAGACGAGGCCAATCAGCGTTTTACGGCACTCGAAGAACTCGTGGAACAAATGCGTCAAACAATTGATACACAAGCGGCCACTATAGCGACCCTTCAAAGACGACCAATGGTGAACCCCGTGGTAAACCCAGCCCCTGCGGCACGTCAACGGGAACCCGGAGAAATTATTAAACCACCACTGCCAGACAAATTCGAAGGAGATCCTAAGCAAATCCAGAAATTTTTCACAGACATAAGAAACTATTTCAGTTACTTTCCGACCACCATGGCTGACGACGTTATGAAAATTCGAACTGCAGGAACCTGTTTGGCCAAAACCGCTAAAGACTGGTTTGAACCACACCTTAGGGATTTTGAATAAACTAAGACACCTAAGAAACAATACACAATCGACTTGTTCAACAGTTACGCCACGTTCGAAAAACAACTTAAGAAACTATATGGAAAAACTAATGAGTCTAAAGAAGCCGAAGATGCGCTCCTTCAAATCAAGCAAAAAGGACCCTGTGCAAAGTACACTACCGCTTTCATACGCCTAGCTGCCAGGACCAACTTGAATGATAAAGCACAACGCATGCTCTACTACCAGGGACTTAACTCAGATGTCAAGGACGAACTCTCCAGAGACGAAAAACCTGACACCCTTGACAAACTCGCGGAAAAAGCCACTCGTATCGATAAACGACAATTTCAGCGACGCCAGGAACGCAAGAGAGAGGGAAATCCCCAGAAGATAGTCCTGAAGTATCTTTACTCCGGTAACAACGCCAACCAGGGAAAGAAAAGGGACCTTGCGATATATAACGATGGAAAGCCAGGACCTATGGACCTCAGCACCATCGAAGCATAACGAAAGAACGTTAAATGCTACAATTGCGGTAAGAAAGGACACGTGAAGAAATACTGCCGAGCTCCTAAAAAAGACGGTAATAAGAAATTCACGCCTGTCCCAGAGCCCAAGGAAAACCGAACCATCAATACTATGAAACCTTCGGTAGACCATGATATACTGCACTTCTCAGCATGCTATAATGACAACTGCCAGACTTATCGCAGCGATAAACAAGGATCAGGATGGTACCCCAAGGGGCGTACACAAACCTTGAACACGCTTGAAGAAGTCACCCAGGGGGACCTCAGCTACGTTAAACAACTTGTTTAACAAAACCTTAACGAGTAAGAACAAAACGACAAATTCGAGAATAAGGAAGAGGTACTCCGAGAATGGAAACAAAATGAAGCCATACGCCAGTACAACGAGGATCTTCCAGACACAGCGCCTCCGACGCAATACGACCCTTGCGAAGGAATAACTCAGGAAGAAATCAACGACCTTGAGAAACGTATGTGCGACCAATGTGGGTCAGTGGAACCCAAAAGCATCTACCACCCCTGTAAAATAACTACAGCGGACTGGGAACAACACGAAGACCGATACGGAATACAAGGTATCATCGAAGAAAATAAACGCTACGACGAAATCGTACGATATAAGGAACTCGAGGACCACCAGAAACTCCTTGAACGATGGGGACAGATCAAACAGATTGATCTAAGTACCGCCTACGACCGGATCCAATTGCCCGGAAATCGGTTTCGATAATACATCGAGACTAACGCAGACGAATACCCAATAGCTAAGACACTAGAATCGATCCTGTACTACGTCGACGACATCCTACTCACCGACCAATATAACGAAGCTAACATTGTTAACTGCAAGCTACTACTATGCAAACAACATGTTATAACTAAGCTTAACGAATAGCATGAGGATCACGGAGCCGCCGAATGCGGACAACAGGAATTCACGCTCTGCAACAAAGACCGTTATAAGAAACACCAGTACCAACGCCGAGCCCTCGCATGTGTCACCCACAACTTGGAACAACAAGGATTCAACCTTATGAAGCACGGCAACGACGACGAACTACGAGGAATCAACTGGAACGACCTTCGGAAGTACCACAAGCTCACCACCAGACACGTACCCAAGCCCGGATGCACCTGGTGCGAACGCTATAACGTTCGAAACAAAGAACCAGGATGGATCACCTCAGACCTAGACAACATCGATATCGACCCTTACGGTAATAATTATTACGACGGCGCCGATGATGCGACCTACTACAACTTGAATACCCTTACAGGAGGAAAGAAACTACGAAAATTCCAAGTACCAGGCACCTTGGAAGGACATCCGATTACAGTCTATATAGACTCCGGAGCCACGACAAGCTACATTACGCCTTAACTGGTTAACCGCCTACAGTTGGACAATCGTAAGAAGGAGAAACCATACACCCTTGCGAGCATTGAAAAACAATAATTCACCTATAATAACGGAACTGTCGACCGCGAGACTGATCTCCTTGAGATCTGGTTTAGTGAAATTGAAGATATATTTAGTTTCGACATTGCAAATATCGCAGGATATGATGTACTCTTAGGATACGATTGGCTTGAGTCGCGTAACCCCGACATCAACTGGATCAGAGGCTAGGCGAGATGGCGAACTCGCCCTGAACTAATTGATTTTAGAAATACACTGTGACTAGATCAGGAGGATCGACAGGATGCCACGACATCCCTGACGACAGGATCGGTGACCCCTGTATTAAATGAAGAAACGCAAAAACATACGGAAAAGAGAAAAGTCATAAAACAAGTACGATTTGAAGAGCTAAAGAAGTTCCCAAGAATAATCGAATATGTTGAGAAACCTAAAAAGAAACAACTTAGATTTCTGAACTCGATCATACGAAAGGTCAAGGAATTATGCCACCGAGACCAACAGACACCAGAACGTCTGAAGAACGTACCAACAGACCTCCAGCATATGCCAGTCTTTAACGAAGAACTAGACACTGGACTACCAGAACACAGCCAATGGGATCATGAGATTGAGCTCATAGACGACAAAGTCCCAACGTTCAACAAGATCTATAACCTAAGTGCCACCGAACTTAAGACACTCGATGAATGGATTAGAGACCAGCTGAAGAAGGGCTACATCTAACCTTCTAAATCCTCAGCAGGAGCCCCAGTCATGTTTATGCCCAAGAAAAACGGTAAACTTCGACTTATTATAGATTACCGACAATTGAACGCGATAACTAAGAAAGATGTCACGCTGTTACCACTGATTTCGGAAATCAGAGATCGGCTTACAGGAGCCAAGGTCTTTACTTCATTAGACCTTAAAGGAGCCTATAACCTTATTTGCATAAAGAAAGGCGACGAATGGAAAACCGCCTTCAGAACCAGATACGGATTGTACGAATGCAATGTTATGTGGTTCGGATTAACCAACGCCCCTGCGATATTCCAGAAAATAATCAACTACGTATTACGAGACTACGTGGATTATTTTATTATTGTATACCTTGACGATATCCTCATCTACTCTAAGAACTTAGAAGAACACAAGGAACACGTTAAGAAGGTATTACAAACACTCTAAGACAACAAACTCCTGGTGGAACCTGAGAAATGCAACTTCTACACGCAGAAGGTCACATTTTTAGGACATGTCATCACCCCAGGTAGAGTCCAAATGGACCCTGAGAAACTTAAGGCGATTAACGATTAGGAACCGCCACAGAACGTCAAGCAAGTACAAAGCTTCTTAGGACTTGCTAATTACTACCGACGCTTTATTAAGGACTTCTCAAAAATTGCCACGCTACTTACGGATTTGACAAAGAAAGACGTTAAATTCGAATTAACACGAGACGCTCTAACAGCCTTCAAACGCCTCAAACAAGCCCTCACAAGTGCACCAGTACTCATGATGTTTAACCTAAATAAGCCTATCACAATCGAAACCGACGCCTCAGATTATGCGATCGGGGGAGTACTCAGCCAACCAGACGACATAAAGAAAAAGAGGCTTAGGCCTATTGCCTACTTCTCTGAGAAACTACATGGACCAGAACTCAGATATCCCATCTACAACAAGGAATTTCTGGCCATATACCAAGCGCTCAGCAAGCAACATTGGAGACACTATTGTGAAGGAAGCCGATTTCCAGTAATAATCCTCACGGACCACCGGAATATCACTTACTTCATGACGACATAAGAATTATCCCGCAGACAAGTCAAGTATTATAAGCGACTTTCCGAATTCAAGCTCATCATCAGACACTGCAGCGGATCAGACAACGGACGCGCTGATGCACTCAGCAGACGCCCAGACCACTTCCAAGAAATACCGGAAGTTAAAGCACAAATACTGGAGAAAAATCAGTATGGTGACCTAGTGATTCAATCAATTAATACCATGTACCAAATCGAAATAGATAATCTAATTATCGACGACATAAAGGAACACGTTAAGAACTGGGAAAACGAATAATACCCAGAAGGTGTTTCTATGGACACTGGATACCTGACACTAGATGGACTCATCTGGGTACCGGAAGACTTACGAAGCAAAGTGGTGAAATCAGTCCACGTACATAAGCTTAACGGACACCGAGGAATTAGAAAAACCATACAGCAGATCGCACGATACTTCAAATTTAAAGGTATTAAGAAATGGGTACAGAAGGTTGTATTAGAATGCATAACATGCGGACGAGCTAAGGCATCACGCTATCTTCCTTATGGAAAACTGCAACCCTTACCGGTTCCAGTCAGAAATTGGGAATCGATAACGTTCGACCACATTGTGAAGCTTCCACCTTCAAAAGAACCTATAACCAACAATACTTAGGACAGTATCTTCGTAGTAGTCGACCGACTCTCGAAAATGGCCTACTTCATCCCAGTAACGGAAAAAAGCTCTGCAGAAGACTTAGCTTACGTCTTTTTCCGATACATTTATGCGAACCATGGACTGCCAAACGAGATCATCTCCGATAGAGGATTAACGTTTATGTTAAAATTTTGGCAATCACTTATGGCACGAATCGGACTAAAACACAAAGCCAGCATAGCTTACCACCTACAGACGGATGGACAAACGGAATGAATTAACCAAATTATTGAAATATACTTACGATGCTACGTTAACTTCGACTAAGACGATTGGGTAGAATACTTACCAACCGCCTAAGCATCCTACAACAGTACGCCAGTAGAATCTACGAACTACTCACCGTTTTACGCAAACTACGGGTTTAAACCAGATCTACACCAACCACCTATCAAAGGAGAAAATGCCAGCAAAGCTATCATTGTAGCTGACAAACTTAAAGAACTGCATCAAGAATTGCAAGTACAACTCGAATTCGTCAGAGAAAGAATAGCTAAATTCGCAGATACTAGAAGGATTAGAGGACCAACCTTCAAGGAGGGAGACATGGTCTACCTACTTCGACACTCGCGAAACGACAAACAGCCAAACATCAAAACAAACAGGCCAAGCGACAAACTTGACTTTAAGAAACTTGGACCTTACAAAGTCACGAAGAAAATCGGACCTGTCAATTACAAAATAGATCTTCCACTCGCCCCAGGGAAACGAGGAAGAACTGTGTATCCGAATTTTCACATTTCGCTACTGGAAAAAGCACTAGTAGACGAAGAAACAGGCGAAGTTATACGGGATGAAATTGTCATTCAAGGCGAAGAACTCGAATACGAGGTTGAGAAACTTAAAATAATAAGATTCAACGAAGACACCCAACAAACTAAATACCTGGTGAAATAGAAAGGCTATAACGAAACAGAAAAATCATGGCAAACTATTGAGGACCTTGAACACTCGAAAGACCTTGTGAATGACTTCCACCGAAGTCTAGGTCTAGCAAAGAAGGGTCAAAAGCGTCCCAATCAACAGCGTCAACCGCGGAACCCGCAGTCACGGGATCAGTTGGATTAGGTAATGATGTTGCAGCCTGACGAGCGGCCTCCGCCCTCTGAGCCTCTCGCTCCTCTCGCTCCTCTCGCTCAATACGCTCCAATTCCTCCAAATTATCAATACCACGAGCAATAGCCCGCTCCATCCGCTTTAACCACTCACGTTTCTGAGTACGAAGACGTTTCACTCGGGCACCAGCCTCGAGCCACGCCTCTTCCGCTTCTTCAAGCTCCTTATTCAATTTTGAATAATGAGTTGCCACCTTACGCATCTATTGCAGGGTAAGACCGAATGCTTCGCAATAAGATTTTTGATTTTGAACGCAAGAAAGACACCGACGGGAATCTTCCTCTGAGGCAATACAATCGCAGCCTTGCTTTTCGCAGTAAGTGCACGATTTCATAACGAGGATAGAATTTTCTAGTATAGTATCAGCAAGGCCTTCACGCTCTTCTTTCTTTCGCTTGGAAACAGGTTCGTCGTCACGCTTGCGCTTGCGATCAGCCATAATAAAAGAATGAAAACAAGAGGTAAAAGACAAAAGGATTGCGGCACTTACCAACGGGATGGGAGTGGATACTTATACACTACCCCAATCAGGTCTTGAGGACAAGACCAACAGGAGGGGAGAATCGTGTCACGACCCGGCTCTTAAGGTCGCGACAATGGGCCAACAGGTTGGCCGGAAACGGATTAACTATAGACCGACAGACCAATCAGGACTGACGGCACTCCTTGACCAGGAAAGCTAGGAAAGCTAGCTTTCCAAATAATCTATCGCAGGAAAGCTAGGAAAGCCAGCTTTCTAAATAATCCATCGCAGGAAAGCTAGGAAAGCCAGCTTTCCATATGATCCAGGACACACGACTGGATATATAAGTTCACTTCATGTCACTCGTTAGAATACTTAGATAGCCAGTTGTTATCACAGCCACAGCGTTTACAATACAATCAGATTGGAACTCAGACATCTATTCTTATTCGTATTATTAGCTGGTGACAAGATTGCCCGTTTACCGACCTGATCGCTCCGCCAACATAAACCATAGAACCACTCTAAGGTTTGTCCCTTGGAAATAGCTAACCTATAGTACCTATAGGAACCCGGTTCGTCACAAGTTTATTTTTTATATTTAGAAAAGAAATACTATTATAATAATAAAAAAGTAATAAAAGCTTATTAATAATAAGTTTATAATATAATTAAAGTAAATTAAAAATAATATATTTAAATAATTAATCATAACTTTTTTATTATTAAAAAAACTACCTTATATATTTTAAATAATTATAATATTTATAAAAACCTTAATAAAGTTTTAACTTAAGTATAATTTTTTTTTATATTATTTATAAAAAATTTAAAGTTTTTAAAAATTAGTTAATTTATATATTTAAATCCTTTAAGTTAATAAATTATTAAAATAAATATTATAAAACTTACTTTATTTTAAAAAAACTAAAAAATATAAAAGTATTAATAAAAAAGCTAAAGTATTATTTAATAAAATTATACTATTACCTAATAAAACTATATTAATAATTTCTTTTATATTAAATAACCTTTACTTTATCATATTTTTTACTAAGCTTTTTAATAACTTAAGTAAAAGATTATTAAAAATTTCCTTAAATAATATTTTCTTAATTATCTTTAATTTTATAACTTTTTTAATTAATAAAATTATCTTAAATAATTACTTAAGTTTTATAATTAATAGCTTTTTACTTTATAATAATTAAAATTTATTATTACCCTAAGGCTTTAAGTGATTTCATAAATTATTTTTATATATTTTTTTTTTATTTTTTATATAAAATACTATTACCTAAAAATATTAAAATATAAAAAATATAAAAAAAAATATTAATATTAATATAACTTAATTAAATAAAAAAATAAAAAAAGTTTAATTTTAAATAAATTACTATTATTAATTTTAAAATAATTATATTACTTAGGTATTAAAGTTTATTAATAAACTATAGAAAATATTAAATAATTTTAAAGTTATATTTAATATATAAATTAATTTATTAATTAATACTATTATTAATAAAGTTACTAAATTTTTAAAAAGGCTTAATTATTATAATATTATTTAATAAAAATATTAAATATTAAGGTTATATTTTATAAACTTTATTAAATAATAATATTAATTTTTAATAATATTAAAAAATACTTATTAACTTTAGGATTTATTTTTTATATATTTTTTAATATAATATACTAAAATAATATTTTTTTTTTCTTTAAAAAGTAATTATTTTATTAATTAATCATTAAGCCTTAGCCCTTACTTTTATTAATTAATAAATTATTAAATAGCTTACTTATTACTTAATAATATACTTATAGTTATACTTAATTAATAAAAATTAACTTTTTTCTCTTTTTTATAATTATTTTTTATTAATTACTATAATAAAAAATATTAACTACTTTAGTTATATTTATAATAAAATAAATTTAATTTTAAAATATATAAAAAAAGTTATATTTATAAAAAAAATATTATATATTTTTATAAATATTACTTTTATAAATTTAATAATAATAAATATTAATAATATAAAAAACTTTAAAAAGTACTACTTTAATAATAATAATAAAATAAATTTAATATTATTTATAATAATATACTTATATATAATATTATAAAAAGAAAATATTTTTTATAAAAAAAAAAGAAAATTTAAATTAACTTTATAAAAGCTACTAAATTAAAAAAATATAAAATTAATATATTATATAATAATACTTTCATTACTATATATATTAATAGTAAAGTAAATATTAATTTAATTTTACTATAATTAATTAAGGAACTTAAAATTTTTATTTTATTAAGAAAATAAATACTATAAGTAATAAATATTATAAAAGCTATAATAAAAAAAGAATTTATTAAATATAAAATTAATTATTTTTTTATTAATTATTAATAAAAAAACATATAGTATTAAGTTTAGTATTTTAAATATATTAAATAATAATATTCTCTTAAATTATATTTATTTACTTAATTATAACTTTATTATTTAATAAAAAACTAATAAAGTTTATTAAAATATTAAAGATATACTTAAATATTAATGATACTAAAGAAAATAAAGAAGTAAAGTTATATTATAAAAAAAATTAAAAGTTTTTATATTAATTATAAAAATAAAAATAATTAAATTTAAAAAATATAAATTACTAATATTATTATAATATAATAAATAATATAAAAAGTAAAATATATTTATATTAATTAAATTATTATATAATTTAAAATTAAACTAATAGCCTTTAATAAAATATTAAATAACGTATAAAAAAAATTTAAAAAAGCTTTATAATACTTTTACTAAAATATTTTATTAATATAAAAAATATAAAAAATTATACTAAGTAATATTAAATACTAAGTTATTATTATATTTATAATATAATTACTTTATTAAGTTAATAAATAAAAAATAACCTAAGATTTATAAAATTTATAATTTTAATAAAAAAAAACTTAAAATATTAAAAAAAATAATTAAATAAATAACTAAAGAAAAATTATATTTAAGTATTTACTTTATTTATAAAATACTTTATAATATTTATATTAAAAAAATAAAAAATTATAATTAATTATTAATTATTAATAATTTAATAATATTATTATTAAAAATTAAACTTTATTATTTTTAATTTTTTAAATTAAAAATAAATTAAAAATAAATTAATAATTCTATAATAATTTATAATTTTTAACTTAAAAAGTTTATAACTTTATTTAAATTAAAAAAATAAATAAATAAAAAATAATATTTAAAATATATTATAAATTATTTAAGTATTTAATTATACTTTTTAAACTTATTAATATATTAATTATATTTTAAAAAATAATTAATAAAGTTCTTAAGGAATATATTAATAACTTTATTATTATATATTTTAATAATATATTAATTTAGTTAAATACTTTTAAAGAATATTAATAATATATATATTAAATCTTAGAAATATTATAAAATATAAATTTATTAATAAAATTAAAAAAATATTAGTTCTATATATAAAAAGTTAACTTTTTAAAATATATTATTTTACTAAAATAAATTTAAATAAACTTTACTAAAGTAATAATTATTAAAAAATATTTTTGTTTTTAAAAATAATTAAAGAAATATAAAACTTCCTTAAATTAATTAATTATTATTAATAATTTATTTAAAACTATAGTAAAACTATTATATTATTTATAAATATTAAAAAAAAACCTTAATAATAAAACTAAGAAAAATTAATTAATTAAGTATATAAAAAAAATCTTAAAGGTTTTTAAAGTATTTAAAAAAGTTATTATTAATATATTAATATTATAAATATATAATCTTAAAAAACTAATTATTAAAACTAATACTTTAAATTATATAATTAAAAAAGTTTTTAATTAATAAAATAATAAAAAAGTATTATAAATTAATAATTATTAATATTTTTTTATAATTAAAAATAAAATTAATAATAATAATAATATTATTATTATATTAAATAATTATTAATTTCTAAAGCTAAATTATATTTAATACTTTTACTAACTAAATTATATAATAGAAAAACCCTTTATAAAAAACCTATATTTACTATTAAAATAAAAACCTTTATATTATATTTTTACTTTTATAATAATTTATATTTTATTATAATTTATATTTATAATAATTTAATATTATTATATTTTTTAACCTTTTATAAAAAGTTATTAATTAATTAAATAAATATTATTAATTTATTTATAGTTACTATAAGTTATATTTATACTTAGTATTTTTATAATAGCCTTTTCTTATAAAAAAAACTTATTAATTTATTTTTCTAAAGTTACTTTAAGTAATATTATTATATTATAATAAGGTAATTAATAAGGATATATAATATTTTTACTATAGATATATAACCTTATAAATATATCATTTTTCTCCTTTTATAATTAATTAAAAAAAATATCTTTATAAGTACTTTTTAATATAGGTAGTAAGGCTAGTTACTTTAATATTAACTTTTATACTTAAGTATAAAACTTTAAAAATTATATACTATAGTAGCTTATAACCCCTTTTTAATTTATAAATTAAATAAGCTTAAGCTTTTATTTTAATATATAAATTAAATAAATTTTAGTTATTATTTTAATTTATAAATTAAAAAAGCTAGTTTATTATTATTTATAATCTTTAGTTTTTAATAAACTTTTACTAGTTTTTTATTTTTTATATATTAGGCTATATTTTTTAATTACTTAAATAAATATTTATTATTTTTTTAAATTTAAGTATTTTACTTAGCTAATATTTTTATAACTTTTTTAAAAATAATTAAGTAAAGTTCTTTTATTTTATATATTTTACTTAATAGCTTTTTTTATAAATATAAATTTATTTTAATTATTAATTAATTAATTATATTTTTATAAACTTTACTATAATTATAATTAATTCAAAGTTTAATTAGCTAGTTTA